TACAGCCGGCATGCATGCGCACCCAGCCAACACAAGGCCAGCCAGCACGCAATGCCTCGCTGTTGCTTGGTGCGTGGTGCTATGCCATCCTGCTGCTGCCAGCGCCTAGCATGCTAGCAAGGCCTAGCCTTGCGATGGCTGGGCGCATGGCATGCTAGCACACATGCAAGGCTCCGATGCTTGCGGTGGCAAGCTAGCATGCATGGGCCTAGGACGCCTAGCATGCTAGGCTTGCGACTAGAATTGTGATGCACATGCTAGCTCGAGATAGCCTAGCCCTCGCATGGCTAGGCCAATGCGAGGCTACGGCCTAACTCGAACTTTTAACTTGATTGATTTCACGTCTCGTTGAATTCCGAATTCGACTCGACTTGCGACGCTCGGTCTCGACGCTCTAAGCTCGATATCCGACGTCTTTGTTCGTAAAACTCTCACCGATTCATCAAATCCTTTGGATTGATTCGTCATCTCGGATCGGTTGTTCGATTGGGTTCGACCCGGAGGGTTCAGTCAAGATTAAGCTGTAATATTAATTGTACATTAATATTACTGATCGGAAGCGCCTCCACCTAGGCATTCCGATCACTTGACCTTACTGAAGAATCAGCTTTTTAATAATTTTGAACCCTCTATCGGAATAATACACTTGTTGGAAGGACACCATTCCTTTCACCTCTCATATTAAAACCTTTTTATTTTGTACAACAACTCCTACATTGGGTGCCTTTTTCCTTGTCCTTCTTTTTTTTTTTTTTTTTTTTTTTGACAAGTTTGTTTTTGGGTTTAGAATGATTTTTTATTTTGCATTGGATCTGTCCTTTTTGGGTTTAGACTAAATTTGTGTCTCCCTCTTATGTTTTGTTCCCTAATTTTTCATTTCTATTTCTTTGCACCATTCTCATCCTAAGGTTTGAATAATGTAGGTTGAATAAGTACGGCTCAATTGATGAGGCTCAAAAGGGCTGCCAAAAAGATGGATTTGTTCTAAGGTTAAAAAAACATGGGATCATCTTCATGGAGTTTCAAGTTGCCTCCTGTGTTGGTGTAATCATCATATCCTTTATTTGTGGGCTAAAGATGGGCCTCTTTTCATTCGATACATCTAGTAAGTCAAAGCTCATCAAGATTCTTAAAGTGTTGAGTATGTATGCCTTTTTTTTTTAATTGTTTGTTTGTATGTGTATGTTTCATTTAATTCGAGCTAATAACAACAAAAGAGATTGAAAAGAAAACAAGATAGACGTACTAGAAAATATAATTTTTATTCATTTTGAGAGTACATAATAAGTAGATTCGACAACACGAATCTCTTAGTCTATCATAAAGAAGACAAAAAAGGAAAGAAACAAAACAAGACCTAGAGTGCTACATCTTGAATTGTTGAAAACTTCTTGAGATTGCGTCTTCGAGCTTTGTCCGTTTCCAATGTAGGTGAAATCCTCTCTAGAAATCTAGTCTATCTATATGATTCATGGTTTCATTTATCAAGTCCCTTTCAATTAATGTTCCCACAGTATAGATTTTTTGAAATGTGTCTAAACCAAGGTATTGTAAATGGCACTTGTATGGTGGAGACATATTTTCTATGAACTTTGGGACAAGTTCATGATCCAGAGGTCTTTGTGAAATAAGAGCAACCTTTAATCGCCACCTAAAAAAGAAGTCAATAAAACCTTTTTCTTCCCCTTGCTTGAGTAATTCAAGATCACGCAAGGTAATCGTGAGCTCGATGTTATCTCATATTGGGCTAAAAACGCTTTTACAACGTCACTCCAAGTGGAAGTTTGTTTTGCATCAAGGTTATAAAACCATGATCTAGCAGTTAGGTCCTATGAAAGAGGAAAAGTACATGCATAGAAGCTATGCTCAACCCCTTTCAATGCCATAATTCCAAGAAAGTTCATTAAGTGAGTCCTAGGATTGTCCGTAACCTTAAAGGTTGATAAATCCGTAGTTAAGAACTTATCTAGGAGAGTCTTGCCACTAGGTTGTGGTGCAAGCTCATAATTCAAGAACTTAGTCCCTGAGCTAGCTCGAAGGACAAGTTTCTCCAAGGCCTCTAATCTTTTGGCTCTTGCTTTTTGACAGGCTAAAGTCGTATCACCTAATCAAAAATAATTCTTAAGTCCTCTAACTACAGTAGATAGGGAAGTAGGGTCGAATCCACAGGGAAACAATGTTCTTTTACTCCTAATTAATTATTATAATCTAAATTATAGAGTAACCAATTTGTAATGTGTGAATTATACTAATAATTAAACTAAGAAAATTAAACGAGGGAATAATCAATAATAAAAGATCTAGGGTATAGGTTCACCAATAAATAATACTCCAGGGTAAAAATAACAATCAATCATTAATGTATAAATTAACCAGATTATAAAGGGCTGTCTCTACGTATTATAATCACATAATTAATCTACCGGTATTAAATCGCATTTCTCGAATCTTGACCTAACCATTTATAGATTAACATGCCTATTGAAACTAAGCCTAAACATCAATTCTCATCTCTCGAATCTCGAATCAATATTTCATAACTCATACAATTAAACCAGGCCTAATCTAATTGCATAGCATTAAATCTATCAATAGGAAATTAATCAATCATTAATAATCAATAATAATAAATTAACCCTTCATATTATTCATGGATCCCCACAACCCTAGAGATAAATCTACTCATACATAATTAAATCTAAACTAACCAAAATATTTAAGCAAGACATAATTAACTAAAGGAATTAAATTGCTGAAAATAAAACAAGGGAAGAAATCGTACCAAGATTAAACGGAATAAATGAATTGCATTAACGAAGGGAAGTAGAGAGAATAATGTTAACAAGAAAATACTCAAAAGCTAAAAATGGAATTAAGAAAACGGAATTCTAGATAATGAAAGCGTAATCGTCAAAATTAAGCTAAAAACGTATTTATACTAACAAATAATCCTAAAAAGAAAAAGATAAAATAATTAAAAGTCCTAATAAAAACACGCTTCCGGTCGGGCGAGGTCTCGCCCTGCCGGGCGCGACTCCCGGCGAGCTCTCGGGCAGACTTGGACTTCTTCAATTGGGCCGTTTCTTAGCCTAATTCGCATTTCCTCTTTGGGTTCTACATACATGGTCCATTGCCCCAGACTCTTCTTTTTCACCGAGCCCTTAATCACCGGATTGACTTCTCAAATACGGTCCTGGGCTTCGGAATACGATCATAGCAATGCGTTCCCGCTCCAATGCTCGCGGTGGCTCAACTAAGTACGGGGAAATGCTCCAAATTTGCAACTTCCTGTAAAATAATACCACAACTACGAAAACACTAGAAGACGCATATTAGTAATAAAAGTGGCTCCAAAGAGCCAAAAATACTCCAAACTATGATCACGGGACGGAGATAAATTACCATATAAAATAAACACATCAAACTCCCCCAAGACAAACCTTTGCTTATCTCAAAGCAAAGAGCTCATCAATGAATGAATAAAACATACTTCACCCCAAATATCAATAAAAATCAAGCACAACCGATTCAAGGCAAATCCAACAAGCATGCATCAAAATCAACCAATCAAATCCATCTAACTACTTATCCCCCTAACAATCGTCAAATAGAGCAAACCACAAGTGTATATAGAATTCAAGACTAGTGCTCACGCACTCTGCACTCTTTTTGTGGCGGATATAGAATGTATCCGATCGCTCTCCATCCAACCCCTTCATTGTGAACAATGCCCTCCCAAACTCACAACTCTCGTGTGTTTAAGAAAACAATCACTTAACCTAATAGTCGACTCGAAATATATCAAATCATTCTTCGCATTGATAAACAACTAATTTCACATTCACACAACTCTATGCACAAAGGTCGGAAGGTCTTCAAAGCTTGTAATGTAAGGCTAGGGTAAAAGGTAGGATAAATTTGGGAAAATGTGAGAGTAAAAGCATGCTTAAGGGAGCCAAAATCCTAATAAATAAAACCAAGGTCAAAATTAAATAATGACCAAATCATCTCCAACACAATTCAACTCTACTAAAAATTCACCAAACATCCAATTCTTATTTCTCATTCCAACATACTTACAATCTCACTCATATATATATATAACATCATAACCTTGAGTGATAACAAACTTTGAATTCTTTTTTTTCAAGAAATCTTCATTAGAACATTTGAACATGAAACAATTTTTTCTTTTCTATCTCACTTGGAATTTTTTCACTTTAGAACATTTTTTTTTCAATATTTATTCCAATTCACAAGAATAAGAACAACTAAAAAACTTCTCAAATCCACCCAAAATCGTGTAAATGAAAATGCACACTACAAACTCCCTCACCTCACTCACTAATAGCTCCCCCAAGCCAAGCTTGGGACTAGTAACCAATGGGGAAAATTAGGCTTGTAATGTGGTTAATAAACAATAAAAGGGCACAAGCAACAACATGGGTAGCAAGAAGGGAACAAATGTATCTAATAATTATGAAGGCTACCTAAAAGAACAAATGCCTTCGTCCTCCTCATTGTGCATAATAGTGAGTTATACAAACATTACTAAAAGTTATAAACCAATACTCAAATTCATTGACATACCAGGAACTAACACACATTCCTAACCAAATCAACTAGTCAAGCACCAATCCACAAACAGTTGGACAAAATTGACTCATGTTAATGTTAGGTTTTACAGAAAATGCAATCAAGCAAAATACTTAAATATGTGTGGGACAAAACCTAGATAATGTGATTACAATAACAAAGTAATGTAATTAAAACAAACACAACAAAGGTGTTACAATCAAGTATTAAAATGTCTAAGAAATTACAGAAATTTCTAAAGAAAACACTAATGTGAAGGCTAACAAACTTGCCTTAACTCCAAGCCGATCAAAGCACACATGAACATGACAATTGCTATGTCCCTTGAGACTACGACCTTGATACTCTGTCAAAGGCGTGTGAAACACTTTTCTAAAGAGGTTTATATTTAGAAGTAATCAAGTATGTCTAGTGTGAAGGAATTAACAACAAACTTTGTCAAACTCAAGAAGTTTGACGGTGTTGAATTTAGGAGGTGGAAGAAGAAAATGTATTATCTTCTTACATCTCTTAATGTTGCCTATATGATAAGTACTCCAAGGCCGGGTGAACATGAGAATGAGACCTTGGAGAACGTTCGGGAAAGATCGAAATGGGACAACGACGATTTCATTTGTCGTGGTCACATCTTGAATGGGATGGAGGATGACTTGTATGATGTTTACCAAAATGTGGAATCGGTCAAGGAGCTTTGGGAGTCCTTGGAGAGCAAATACATGATGGAAGACGCTTCAAGTAAGAAATTTTTAGTTAGAAATTTTAATAATTATAAGTTTGTTGATGGTCGGTCCATAATGGACCAATTTCATGAGTTGCAACGTATCTATGGTAGCTTAGAGCAACATGGTATAGCTTTGAATGAGTTGTTTGTTGTTTTTAGCATTATTGATAAGTTACCCCCTAGTTGGAAAAATGTTAAGCATGATCTTAAGCATAAGAAGGAGGACATGACATTGTCCGGTTTGGCCACCCATCTTCAAATTGAAGAAGGGATTCGTGCCATGGAAGGAGCTAAGGATGGAAATCCTAGCACATCTACCGTGAATATGGTAGATGAAGGGAGAGCTAGTGCATCTACTAGTGGGAAAAGGAAGAATAAAAATTCTTCCAAAGGAAAGTCCAAAAGGCAAGCAAACAATAACAAGTTTTCTTGTTAGGAATGCGGTAAGGTTGGTCACCGCAAGAAGGACTGCTTTTCTTTTAAGAAAAGGATGGAGAAAGCCAAGGAGGGACGTGCTAATGAAAGCAAGGACCCACCCACCAAAGGTAATCCAATTCATGAGGTTGAATTTAATTCTGGTTTGGATTTAAATGCAACGGATCCTAACATTTTTATGGTGTAGGATGATGACTCATGGTGGATTGATTCGGGGGCTTCAAGGCACATATGCAAGTGTAAACATTGGTTCAAAACCTTTTAAAAGGTTGTTGATGGAGATGATCTCTACATGGGGAACAATTCTACCATCAAGGTCCTTGGAAGAGGGCAAGTTGAGCTTGTGTTTAGTTCGGGGACTGCAATTATTCTTAGGAATGTTTTGTATGCTCCGGAAATTAGTAGGAATCTTGTATCCGGGCCTACCCTGAATAGTCTTGGCTATAAGCTTGTATTTGAAGCTAATAGATACATAATTACTAGGGGTGTAACATTTATAGGTCGTTGCTACTTAGATAATGGTTTGTTTAAACTCTCTTTGAGAGATAAGTATGTATTGGATGATATGTGTTTGAATGTTGTTGACAATGTTAATCATGTTGATTTGAATTTGTTTTATTTATGGCATTCAATATTAGGACATGTGAATTACAATAAAATGCTTTTTATGTCCAAACAAGAATTAATTCCTTCTTGTGATATATCTCCTAATAAGTGTTCTACTTGTATGTTGAACAAGATCACTAGAACTCCTTTTAAGAGAGTTGAGAGAAGTTCTAATATTTTAGAACTAATCCATAGTGACTTTAGTGATTTTCATAGTACTCCTTCTTTGGGGAACAAAAGATACATGGTTACTTTTATAGATGATTATTCTAGGTTTTGTTACATGTATCTTTTGCATTCCAAAGATGAAGCTTTAACCAAGTTTGATGTTTATAAAAGAGAGGTAGAACTGCAAGTAGAATCATTTATTAAGAGAATTAGAACTGATAAGGGAGGGGAAGATTATGATCCTGCTTATTTCCAATTTTTGGGTATAATTCATGAGACAACAGCGGGTTATGCACCACAATCAAATGGTGTAGCTGAAAGGAAAAACAGAACTCTTGAAGAAATGGTTAATTCCATGTTATCTTACTCTGGTTTGAGTGAAGGGTTATGGGGTGAAGCAATGTTGACAACATGTCACATTCTTAACCGGGTTCCCACTAAGGGAAAAGAATCTACTCCTTATGAACTTTGGTACAAAAGAAAACCAAACTTGAAGTATCTCAAGGTTTGGGGCTGTAGGGCAATCGTAAGAGTGCCCGGCAACAAGAAAAGAAAGCTCGGTGAAAGGGGCTTGGATTGCATATTTATAGGGAAATCGTATGAGAATGATTAATTTGGTAAACATCATACAAGTCATCCTCCATCCCATTCAAGATGTGACCACGACAAATGAAATCGTCGTTGTCCCATTTCGATCTTTCCCGAACGTTCTCCAAGGTCTCATTCTCATGTTCACCCGGCCTTGGAGTACTTATCATATAGGCAACATTAAGAGATGTAAGAAGATAATACATTTTCTTCTTCCACCTCCTAAATTCAACACCGTCAAACTTCTTGAGTTTGACAAAGTTTGTTGTTAATTCCTTCACACTAGACATACTTGATTACTTCTAAATATAAACCTCTTTAGGAAAGTGTTTCACACGCCTTTGACAGAGTATCAAGGTCGTAGTCTCAAGGGACATAGCAATTCTCATGTTCATGTGTGCTTTGATGGGCTTGGAGTTAAGGCAAGTTTGTTAGTCTTCACATTAGTGTTTTATATAGAAATTTCTGTAATTTCTTAGACATTTTAATACTTGATTGTAACACCTTTGTTGTGTTTGTTTTAATTACATTACTTTGTTATTGTAATCACATTATCTGGGTTTTGTCCCACGCATATTTAAGTATTTTTCTTGATTGCATTTACTGTAAAACCTAATAGTTAAGGCATCCAAGCAATCAAACATCAAATCATGGCTAACCTATCCACAATACTTATCATCATATACCAAGAATCAAAACAATTTACATGTATGGGGCACAGGGAAGCATAATTTATCATTCATTGGATGGTATTTTTGTATTTTTTTTATTTTAAAAGCAATAAAATCTAAACTATAAAGCAATAAAAAAGACTAAAGTAAGCACACCAAAGAAAATAAAAAGAAAAAGGAAAGAAAGAAAACCTATATATACAAGAAATTCCCCCTAAGCCAAACCAGACAATGTCCTCATTGGCTCAAAGGGAAGAAAGTAACCCAGGAGACTACCACTCATCATTAAAATTGTATCCACCACCATCCCAAGCATTGCAATTCATCACCTTGTTACAATTCTGGACAAGAAAGAAACAAAGTGTTAGTAGGAAAAGAAGTAAAAATGAATCAGGCTCACTATTTCTTTCATAACGTTTTTTATACAAATGATAATGAAGTGATTTCAATTGCATTGGAAATTAGACTTGAAGAGCTTTCCAACAATAGGTCACACGCAAAATTCCGTTAAGAAATGCAAAAGTTATGGCGTTTTGAAGTTGGCCTGTTTTGCTATCGTGCTCTCGCGCTCGGTCGAGCGAGGCTCCGCCCGGCCGGGCTCGCGTTCGGGCGAGTGTTCGCTCGGTCGGGCGAATTTTTGGCAAAAATCCTCTTTTCTCTCGCGCCCGGTCGGGGGAGATTGCTTGTATACGGACTTCCTCTCGCGCCCGGTCGAGCGAGTGCTCTCCTGGTCGGGCGCCCTACAACACTTTGAGTCCGATTTTTCTCAATTTGTTCCTTTTTCTCCACTTGCTCATCTTCAAACCCAAGCCCTACACAATTTAGAGCCCTTTCTATAGCATCCACTTCATCCTTCCATGTAGTGGCTTTTCCTGCGAAAGATGTGACACAAAATATCGCCTCCAAGGGATCTCTAACGAGAGCTTGGGGCTTATTAGAATAATTATATACATCAACCACATCAATACTATAGCACTTTTCTTCCAACATGGGGCTTTTGGGGGCATTATGTAAATTAAAAATAATATGTTCATCCCCTACACATAACGTAAGTTTACCACTTTTCACATCTATTATTGCCCCTGCAGTATGAAGGAATGGTCTACCCAATATAATTGGAATTTGAAAATTTTCCTCCATATCAAGAACAAAAAAATCAACAGGTATATAAAATTTACCTACTCTAACAGGTACATCCTCTAAAACACCTAAAGGATATTTAAGAGAACGACCAACCATTTGTAGAGTAATATTGGTAGCTTTTAATTTACCCATATTTAATTTAGAGCTCACAGATAGTGGCATAACACTTACACTAGCACTCAAATCACATAGAGCTTTATCGATCATCAAATTTCCAATGTGACAAGGAATAGAAAAACTACCCGGATCTTTTAGCTTAGGTGGAGATTTATTTTGTAGTATAGCACTACATTCCTCACTAAAAGCAACTGTCTCTACCTCACTAATAGATCTTTTTCTTGTCAAGATCTCTTTCATAAATTTAGAGTATGCAGGAACTTAAGTAATTAATTCTGTGAAAGGAACTGTTACCTGCAAATTCTTGACAACCTCCAGAAACTTACCAAACTGCTTATCTAACTTACTCTTAAGATGTCTATTTGGGAATGGTAGTTTGATAACTGGTTTCTGCACATCTCCACTCTTGTCTTGAGTTTTACCCTGTAATTTATTAGCAAAAGAGTTAGTTTTATTCTGGAGCCCTGCAGGGTTAGTAACAACAATATTTGGTGTAACAGAATAAGGATTAGCAATTTTTGTAATGATATGTTCATCATCTTTGGGCATAGAAGCCCCATCGTAATTTGAGCCACTTCTCAGTGTAATTGCATTCACGTGATCCGTAGGTTGCACCGGCTGCGATGGTAGGGCTCCCTGCTGGTGAGTTTGTAGAGTGGCGGAAAGTTGCGCAATTTGATTATCTATAATTTTATTATGGGATAAAAGTGAATCAATTTGTGTATCCCTACTCTGCATGTGTTTTTGCATACTGGCCAACATAGTTTTAATGTCTGACAAGGTAGGGTCAGAAGATGGAGGTGGAGTTTGAAGTTAGGTCCTTTGGTTGGGTGGTTGATAATATTTTTGCTGTTGTTGTTGTGGTTGTTGTGGAGGTGGAGGGTTTTGAACATTTGTACTCCGGTAAGATAGATTTGGATGGTTCCGGAGACCAGGATTATAAGTGTTGGAGTATGGGTTATTTTGGCTATAGGTTTGGAAGGCATTAACTTGCTCCATGGAACTCCTACAATCTTGTGCCCAATGACCTACAATTCCACAATTTTCACAAAAATCATCGTTAGTATTATTGACAGCAGAAACATTAGCTACAGAAGTAGGGATAGCAGTACTAATATTATCTAATTTTTGGGAAATAGAGGTCAATTGAGCTTGCACAAAGGATACTGAATCAACATTATGTTTCCCCTTGTTTGCAAACCTCTAGTATTCCCATATTGGGAATTATGAATTGTCATCTCTTCAATAACCGTTCCTGCTAAGTCTTCTTGGAGATTCATAAATCTTCGATTGGCTGCTGAGTCAAGTATTGATCTAGATGTATTTCCATGCCCGTTGTAGAAAGGCTTGGATTATCTTCCACTGCGCCAAACCATGATGGGGACACTCTCTCTGAAAATCCTTAAACCTTTCCCAAGACTCATATAAACTTTCATCAACCTCTTGGGAAAATTTTTGGATTGAACTCCTTAGTAGAGCTGTCTTCTCTGCAGGGTAATATTTATTATAGAAATTCAAAGCAAGAATATCCCAGTTAGTAATACCAAGAGCAGTTCTATTCAATTCATTATACCACAATTTAGCTTTACCACATAAAGAAAAGGGAAAAAGGATCTCCCTGATTTGGTCCTGTGTGACCCCAGCTTGCCTAATAGTATTGCAATATTGGCAGAAATCTAAAATATGAAGATTTGGATCTTCACCCTTA